ATTTAGAATTTTTTGTTTTCTGTTATTTAATGTTGCGTGTAAAGTACAAATTGAAGTACAAAATTAACCTTTAAGGTCCACACTTAAATCATAAAAGTGCAAGAAAATAACACAGAGCATGCATTTATTAATGGGTACATAAGATACGAGTAAATCTTTTCCGAGTAACAAGTCATAGCTGCTGGATCAATGGTGGAAGGAGAGCATACGCCATTATACCAGAAGTCCTTATTTTCAAATAAAGTAGGTATAATGCTAACAATGGGGTGCGGGTACACCAAGCCGATGAAGGCAAGATATGCATTTTCCATACACACATTTGTCTCATTTTAATTTTTAACAGCTAAGGTTAAATTGCTTAGTTTAGCATTTACATAGAGTGCAGGAAAGACCATTAAATCTCAAAAGGTTGTCATGAGAAAGAGAAAAATGGTGGGCTGGTGTGACAGGTGGAGTCAGACAGAAGAAATGGTGGCTGAAGATCCCAGCCTGCATTTGGTGGTCAGTCTGGAACGAGAGGAACTCCAGATGTTTTGAGAATGTTAGCAACTCCATTCAGAAAATCAAAATGAACTGTTTAGTACTCTTTCTTTTTTGGTGTAAAGAATGCCCTGTAAATGATTGTGACTCCATACTTGATATCATAGAATCCTTGTAAGCTTTTTGTAGTGGGGGGATTATTTTACTTTTTTGGGGATGTATTCTGTCACTTTTAGCAGCACAAACTTTGTGTTGTTTTATATTTATAAAATGTTATCATTCTCAAAAAGAAATACAAGACAACCAATCAGAAATATCACGAAATCCTCCGCTCTTCGGGGTGNGGGGGGGGATTATTTTACTTTTTTGGGATGTATTCTGTCACTTTTAGCAGCACAAACTTTGTGCTGTTTTATATTTATAAAATGTTATCATTCTCAAAAAAAGAGAGAAAAATGAACATAATCAAATGAACTGCTGCAATGTTTCCTGTGTAATTCAACTGCTTACAAAACTTATTTAATCTGCATATATTGTTAGCATCCTGCAGTAGCAACGTCTATGCTAGTACAGAGGAGACTCGAGCTGAAATAGGATACATTGTTACAACACATATTCAGGGAAAAGAAGGAAAAAATATATAAGTAGATCATTTCACACTGCTATCTTAGAAGCAAACATGAGGGGGAATAAGCTTCCCGGGATTCATGATATTGTTTGGATCTAAAGCACCCTTTATCTTTTTCATCGTCCTCAAGTTCTCGATCCCAAGTTCCTTTTCAAGATACTGAAAATATAATGCAATAGAAGTCAGTAAAATCCAGTTACTCACACGATTTAGAAAATTAGGACACTGGAAATTAGTTTGGGTTAACAGAAACAAGACGTAGAAAATTGAAAGCATCCTAATTTTTTAGTCAAGATGAAGTTGCATAAAACTTAAAATGTCCAATAGCAAAACCTTTTGTTCAACTAGTGAATGCTGAAAAAATATGAATTCTTCTAGTTTGCAAAAATGGTCTCCATTGCATAACATTATGGGTTCATATAAGCTTTCTCCCTTTTCCCCTTTTTGAGGTGCTGAGGTTTACAAAGACACGGTCATCAAATGTCAACAGAAATTGCTTATGTAATAAAACTCTTGCACACTGTTTCTCTGGTGTACCTTATGGACAGTGTAAGGTTATCCGATATTCATCACTAGGCAAGTGCTACAGTATTTTGTTACATTTCGGCTTATAGTAAAGTGATGATGTTAATGTGAACAATTGTGCCATCCTATTTGTAAGACATCAAAAAGCCAAAAGGACAAGTGTTTGAACATCATACCTTCATTTTCCCAGTACCGACACCATGTTCTCCAGTACAGGTGCCTGTTCAGCAAAAGAATGAAAGTGGTAAAACACCATCCACGTGCCTTTGATGAAATGGTACTTTTAAAAAACGTGGAAAGAGTCTATACTCAGTGAGCAACAGAAAGAGTTTCAGGTGAATCGCCAGAGCTGCAAAAGTTACTATAAACACAATGCAAGTTCAAAGTTCGCATACAAATTACATGCTTAAGATAATTCTGTTGAAAGGTTTTGAGACAAATTCAGGAAAACATATCAGAGGTTAAGACAAATCCAGGAATCAAATCCAGTTGACTGAATACAGGCAGAAGATTTTAATATTGAAAAGAGGGTGGAAAAAAGAGAGGTAGCTAAGCTTTCTTGCCCCATTGGAACAATGTCAGTCAAAAAACTTTTCTTGGCGATTCAGCTTATTGGACAAGCAGACCAAGTAAGAATAAAGATCAAGGGTCAGACTCTGCAGCTTCTGTATTAGCTATATCTTTTCAAACCCTGGTAGTGATGTACTGATCAGAGAATTAATCATGGCCCAAGGTAACTTTATCCTTATGATCTTGCTTTCACATGGATTGTAACTTCAAAGACTAAGAGGTCGTTTAGATGATAGTATTTGATAATTAATCTTAGCATAAAATCCCGCACAGAACAGTATATGGTTGGCCGCATTAAAATAAAATAATCGCTGCGTAACTAATGCATCGTTTGTTGGTGGGTATTAAATAATACTCGCATTAAGTTATGTGGGATCACCCGGACCCCACACATAGCGGGAGCTTAGTGCACCGGACTGTCCATTAGGTTGTGTGGGATCTTCGTATTATTTAATGCATGATAGAATGTGGAATAAGAATACATGTATTAGCAATACGGGGAATAAACTATTAAAGACAAAAATGCCCATCTAAAGTAATCATGTATTAGAATCTCTTCATTATTAATTACCACATAATATTCCCTTTATTATTAATCACCGTATAGCCAATCCTAACATTATAATCCCCGCACACCTAGTATGTGAACCAAAAGACCCTTATATGAAACTAGGCTTGTTGTTTCCTTTTCATATTTCCTTCTTCTTTGATGAGGTGTTGGATGGATATTGCAGAGGAAAGGAGAGGATCACTAAGCCCAAAATGCAACTTGTACCTTCCATTGATAAAGCGGTATGGACCATGAAGTGGTTTAGCCTCTCAGCTTCTCGTCGTTGTTCCTTTTTGGTAGGATCAAATAGAACTATTGTATGGAAATTTCCATCACCGGCATGAGCAATAACAGTGCTGTTAAAGAAAAACAATGAGCAATATAGATGGTAGAAACTCGTAACTTAATGTCCATAAAGTCCAACATGTCGAGTCCAATAATTTATACAAACAAGACATACCATATTAAAGGAGAAGCATCCAATTCCTGTTTTGATCTTGATATTAATTCAGCAAGGTGTGACAAGGGTACACAGACATCCTGCAACAAAAACGAGTGTGTATTTCAGATAATCACATTGAAAATAAAATAAAAATGTTAACAAGTTAATAAGAATGTCCTCACTTAAAATTAAAACATGTGCAGAAATGAGAAAATATCCAACATATCATCTCCTATTGGAATCACCTTATTAAAAGTGCTTCTGAGTTGGGATTTTAACTGATATAGAAAATAAGTATCTTTGCAGAAATGAGAAAATAATATATCATCTCCTATTGGAATTACCTATTATAGTGTCCCCAAGTTGGGGTTTAACTGAAAGACACAACAAAATCTGAAAGCTAGTCTTTATTTTTTATTTTTTAAATTATTTTTAATAACCGTGATGTCCAGGGTTAGCCTGCTGAAAGCTAGTCTTTATTATCTATTGCATAAATCAAATATCGATTGGCAACGCCCTAACGTGGTTCAAGGAGCTCATTTTTTAGTACAAATAAGTATGTGCATGAGCCAACTTCCATCACTACAATCCTGTATTTAGTTATGGGACCAGCACTCAAGGCGACAAAGATTTTCAATGCCACAAACATGGAGGCAGAATGACAAACAGACAATTTAGGTTCCAAGGGAATGGAGATTTAATTTTCCGCAGCAGAACGATAAATATACTTGAAAAGTAAGCTAAAGTCTAACCAACCCTCTGTGACACTATGAGCAGAATGCTTTCCGAATATTTATAGGCTCCAAGATGCTATCTAGTTCTATTAGGATTTTATTTTCAGTTCCGGGAACATCCATTTATAATATTTCATCTACATTTAGCGAAATTTACGACTTAAACAGTAAGTGTCAATTATGAATCTAAAGGTAGCATCACCATCAAGCTCCCAAATTACCATATATTCATCAATACTTGNAAAGATCATAGTGCAAATATATCCATATGAATCAGATAAACTTTGATAGATGAAAGTAAGAAGGAAAACGTGAACACAAAAGTAATGTGGTTGGAACATTTCAAATGAACCTGAGATCCAAATGAAAATTTCCAAACCTAAAACATTATAACTAAAAACATAGAGCATGTGTTTTCAACCCATTTCAGTGTAAATTAGCAGTAGAAACAAACCGTTATCATCGCCTCAGAATTAGGTTCCATTGCAAAGCAAGCCCAAAGTGCTTCCTTTCTTATCTACACGGAAGAAGCCATTCAACAATTAATAAACAACATTGTTAGACGGGCCAGTTACTAACTATTCAAAAGTTGGCTTGTATACAACATGGAATCACATTTTCGCTGAAGTCACTGAGTTACTATGATCCATCACATCCGCACCAAGCCAAGTGGAATTTGAAGAAAGAAAATTGTTCAACATAGACGAGATGAGGGTTGTATGGTTAAGAAGTTTTTTCTCACCTTTAGTGGTAAACATCTAATGGGAGTAAGATGTGGATCTCACTAAGCAACAGGATACCTTTTATAGTGGAATGGATAGTTCGAAAATTTATTTTGGTTCAGTTGTTTCAAAGCTTGATCATGTCTTGCGTCTACCTCCAGATGCACCGATCTATAGGTGTAAAATCATGGTGAGTGAAGGTGTTAAAAAGGGACGAGGTAGAGAAGGAAGTAGTCTCCAAAGACCTACAATTTCTTGGAATCTTTGCAGACTTAGCGAAAATAGAGCATGTTAGATAGTTATGTGAATATATATATATATATAATTAGTCCTAGTCCCGTGTGTAATAGGAGTAGGTTATGTATTATGTATACTTATTACAAATAGGGCTCATTGTAACATAGTGAAGAATATCAATAATATATTTTTCTCCGGTGCTTTCTCACATGGTATCAGAGCATTAGTGAGAAACTTATCGCCGTGCATCATTTCAGCGACTTCGGAGAAGAAAGAACTCGTCGCCGTGCAATTTTCCGGCGACTTAAGAGGCTGTCCGAAACAAAATCACCTTCCATTGGTGTTGTGCAAAAACCAACACCACCACAAGACTCCTCAAGATCGGGTAACCAAACACCAGTCAACCCCACCGGAAAATATCTTCCCATGTGCCCTCACGCGCCGGAAGAAGAAGAAATTTTCCGACAAGATCTGACCCACGCGTCGGCGAGATCTGACCTCCAGCGGTGCCTTATGTGTGCTGATGTTACCTTCTTTGAAATTCGACCATACTTCATAGGCCTAGGTGGTCACTTAGACATTTCTGAGGTGCTACCAGTTCTATCTTTTGGAGATTCAGTCACTATTTCCCCTTCACCTTCTAGTGGCCTTGTATGTCGTTTGCGCCGGTCACTTTATGGTCTAAAGCAGTCTCCTCGAGCCTGGTTTGGTAAGTTCAATGCAGTTATCCAGGAGTTTAACATGACTCGTAGTGAAGCTGATTACTCTGCGTTTTATCGGCATTCTGCTTCAAATCTTCTGGTCGTTTATGTTGACGATATTGTTATTACCGGCAATGATCAGGATGGTGTTAGTAAGTTGAAGCAACATCTCTTTCAGCACTTTCATGACTAAGGATCTGGGCAGATTAAAGTATTTTCTGGGTATTGAGGTCGCTCAATCTAGCTCAGGTATTGTGATCTCACAACGTAAGTATGCCTTAGACATTCTTGAGGAGACAGGAATGACAGGTTGTAGACCTGTTGACTCCGATGGATCCGAATTCTAAACTTCTGCCAGAAAAGGGGGAGCCGTTCAGCGATCCCGCAAGATATAGGCGGTTGGTTGGTAAATTAAATTACCTCACAGTGACTAGACCTGACATTTTCTTTCTTGTGAGTGTTGTGAGTGCGTTTATGGATTCTCCCTATGATAGTCATTGGGATGCAGTTGTCCGCATTCTTCGGTATATAAAATCAGCTCCAGACAAAGGACTATTGTTTGAGGATCTAGGCCATGAGCAAATCGTTGGATACTCAGATACTGATTGGGCAAGATCACCTTCTGATACACGTTCTACGTCTGGATATTGTCTTAGTAGGAGGTAATTTGGTGTCTTGGAAGAGCAAGAAACAGAATGTGGTTGCTCGGTCTAGTGCAAAAGCAGAATATCGAGCAATGGCAATGGTCTAATTTGGATCAAACAATTGCTCAAGGAGTTAAAATTTGGTGAGATCAGCCAGATGGAACTTGTGTGTGATAATCAAGCTGCTATTCATATTACATCAAATCCAGTGTTCCATGAGAGAACTAAACACATTGAGATTGACTGTCACTTTGTAAGAGAAAAGATACTCTCGCGAGATATTGCTACAAAGTTTGTGAAGTCGAATAATCAGCTTGCAGACATTTTCACCAAGTCCCTCACTGGTCCTCGTATTAGTTACATATGTAACAAGCTCGGTACATATGATTTATATGCACCAGCTTGAGGGGGAGTGTTAGATAGCTATGTGAATATATATATATATATAATTAGTCTTGGTCCCGTGTGTAATAGAAGTAGGTTATGTATTATGTATACTTATAAATAGGGCTCATTGTAACATAGTGAAGAATATCAACAATATATTTTTCTCCCGTGCTTTGTGACATAGCACAAATGGAAGAAAAAGATCTATATAGGAGTATCAATTAGTTAGGAATATGTTCAAGTCAATGTTGCTCGGACTCTCCGAAATGTAGATGGGCGCGTGTCGGATCCTCCAAAAGTAGTGCATTTTTGTAGGATCCGACACGGATGCGGCAGTTGTTTCGGAGAGTCCGCGCAACATATATGTTAGTACATTATAGGTCTTAATGTTTTCTAGGAAACTTTTAGCCCTATTAAAAAAATTTATGCGAATAGAAATTTAGAGAACTTCTACTACTTCGTTTTTGTTTTTATTTTGTATAACATTGGTCTGAGATTAACTTAAATGAAAACAAATAGCCAATGAGGATTCATATAGCCAACCACAACTTGTTTGGGACTGACTACTGAGGCATAGTTGTTTTTGTTTCAAAGTTTCCAGTAACAACTTATGTTGGAATTGAAGACTCGATCATGCTGATGACAGCCAAATGAAGGAAGTAGTTAGGAGAGTAATACTAGGCTGAAAGAAGGTACTTCCTACAAATTTTCGAAAGATATGATCAAAATTTTCATAATTGTATCTATTAAGGATTGACAGAATTTGGAAGGCACCAGTCAAACCTTACTTTGAAGACTATGATGCAGTAAAAAATGTATAAATTGAAATTAAGCAATTGTCCCAATCACAGGTTTCAAAACCTCTTCCTTTGCAAAAAAACTTACATGACAATTTATTGCATAGAGAAGAACGTAAAACTACTACTCGAAGCACATCTTTTCAAAGTTTTGACAAAAGCATGCTCAAGCAAAAATATTGCTCCTCTATTTATTTTTTTTTTTTTTTTTTGGTTTAATCCTCTATTTATTCAAATTATCAAAGAGGTGAGATTACCATGTTACATGAAGCTATCATGGGGAACTCACAAAGACATAAATGGGCAGGACAGAGCAAAAGGGAGAATCACACAGACTCGACTTTTCACCTTCCAATCATAGTAAGAATGATGAGAACTAGAAAATTACAATTGTACAAAGAAACAAATTCAGGAATTCTATTTTTCCAAATTTACATCCATGGTTTTGTTCCCTTTTCATTTTTAGTAGGAAAGATATTTTTCTCAATTAATTGAATCTGTATTGAGTTGTCTGTATTTCTCCTCCTTTCGTGGTTCTTTTTGGTCAAAGGTAAGTTGGATCTAAAAAACATATAGGAATAAGATTACGAACTGCAATTATTGGGAGGTACTCAATACCTTGGGTGTTTAGCTACAAAACTTGCATGCTCCATAAGTCCATCCACGAGAAGCCTTATCATTTTTTTATTATGAGCAAATGATGCTAAAATCATTACTCTACAAATGTTAAAAGCTCTTATTGTGCTAGTCTATTTTCTTTTAAACAAGACAGCATAAGACCAGAAATCTGGAAAGGTTTTCATATTCTTTTCTTATTTTTTGAGACTATAGGAGGAGTAGGGCTTTCATAGAAGTTATCATTTGCTAGCTGTCATTTACTTGAAATATCATAAAACATATCCATGTTAATGCAAACACTAATATTAGCCCCTCATTTTCTAAGATCTAGTTTGACAGAACTAAAAACACAAGCATAGGTACTTTTATAATGAAAAATTGAATAGAAACAGAACGTAAAAAAATTATAATATTGAATAGACAGAACTAAGACAATGAAGTACCTTCCAGAGTTCCTTTTTCTCGTCAGGTTTTTCAGCGAAAACAAAATCAGAGCCATTGTGCTGAGAAGCTATCTTCTGAACAATCTGCGTTTGCTCACGCGAATACGCCTCTGATAGATCACAAAAATCAGTAGCTAGTTAAACAATAGGTAAGTGGCATCAGTATAGTTAGTATGTTCACTCACAACCCCACAATGAAAACAATAGTTAGGTTCAATCGCGAATATTCAGAGTGCATATCATAGTAATCTTCAGAGGCACCCTTGAAAAGGGCCAGCTGGAAGTTCAATGTGTTCTGCAACTGAGTTTTAATCCCTCTACCCCATCGNGGGATTACACTGGGTATATTGTTGTTGTTATCTGGTTAATCTATATGCACTCCTATCACAGGTTATCTGTATTGACTCTTCTTGACTTACTATTCTCAGTAAGGTGCTTGAGTTAACACCTATACTGATCATCTATTGGAAAATTTGTGTCACGTTATAAAAGATTGAAAGCAACTTGTTTGGTCGGATTTATAAATCAACCACCTTCAAAGAATTCATAATTTAATTTCTAATAGCTTGTTTGGATAATGACTAGGGATCAGTAAGCATCTAGAAATAAACAAATCTGATTCCACCAAAATCAGATCTCTGTACTGTAAGGTTTCAATTAAAAATCTTTTTTCAAAAATACATGACAAAAGAAAAATAAAGACAGCGCAACAAGTTAAGGCTTTTTGTATCAACTATTAGTCTCATTAGCACATAAATCTGGCGTAAAGCAAACTCAAGATATACCAGACAGAAAGGGAAGTGGAATTTTGGAAGAGAGGGAGGAGGAAGAGCGGTGGAGGAGAGCGCGGAATGAAGATGAAAAAGAGAGTGCCAACAGGAAAGAGGGGATATACTGCTCGAGTTCAAGTGAACGAGATATCCTAAGGACTGCTGGAGAGAGAGAAAGGAGAGGAGTGGTTTGACAAGGAAGCTTCCATCATCTTGGCCGATAAGGGACTGAACAAGATAGGGCAACTAAATGGCGCCTCCTGGGACATCATTCCAGATGTGCTAAATACATAGCCATCATCAGTTGGACTTGGATTTGAAATAGAAAGTCAATGTTTTGGTTGTCCGGCCAAACAAGTAGGAAGACTTTGGGAAGGCCAAATCCTTCCACCCAAATGATACCTATTTTTATTATCAAAAATTGTCAATAGAATTATAGAAGCAGGCAAATTCTCATTTATGAACTATGAAGTATAAAAGGAAAATGAGATTGCCAGGAAGCCAACTGATGCAACTCTGAGGTTGTGGCATAATAGTCAATGAAATTGGAATGGACCATGAGAGACACTTGTTCAAATCCCAGCGGAGGCAAACAAGTTAGGTAATTTCTTTCCATCTATCTAAGTTTTGGTGGAAAAAGTTTCCTAATACATGTTCTAGTGGGAGATAGAACAGGTAACCGGTGGATTACTCAGGATACGTGAAAGCTGGCACGGACACATGTTGGTATGCTGTCTTCTACTACTGCTTATGAGATTAAAGATTATAACACAAGTTAAACTAGGCATTAAACAATTATATGGTGAGACGGAGATTAACAGAAGTTTTAGTATTCATACCATAAAAATAAAAAAGACAGGACTTTTTATATCAAACTTGCACACTTCACCTGTGCCTACAAATTCAAACATCAAAGTTGGAACCTCCGGAAATTTTTTGTCATTTGCGAGATTGATTGCTCTCACTTGAACTTCATCCAAGAGCTCCACTCTTGACACCTAATGTGCATTGGAACAAAGAATTACTTCTATCTCTAACAGAAAGTTATGGTTTCTATTTTGAATTGTCAAAAATGTAGAGTCAGAGGCCCTCATTTTCCCCATTGCTGAACTAAACAACAAAAATGAGCTCCCACACTAACTCTGCCGAGTACAATTACAGTGTTCAGCTTAAGCAAATGGAAGCATGAAAAGAAAATAAAGATTCAAAAACCGTTAACCTATTTGATATCCTCTGGAGATGTGACTGAATATAATTTCTTACACTAAGACAATAATTAGAGACGTTTAAGTCTATTAAACATTGGCTTAATCTTAAGTTAATCATAAACAAAAGGACTTTCTAAAATCTTTAATGGAAATGAGTCCCATATTTAATCAGGCATAATTTGATTTACATGAAACTAGTTGGAATCTGTCAATGCAGTTAGTGGAGCCATGCAGAGAACAGTACATTTATATTAGGAGACTGGTCCAACAAATTTCATTAGAATTTTATTATGATTATTCTAATGCATTTAGTTGAGTTCTGACCTGTATACCAGAATGCATAGTGGCTATAGCAACGTCTGCAGCATCTTTAATTGTTGGAAAGTTACACATTGCAACCTGTACCAATATCATGAAAAATGCAAGTTCAACATAAAGCTATTTACAGCACAATATGAGAAGACACAACTCTCTCTAAAGTGGGGGTACACAGACTGGCCTAATAGTAGGGACTAACATGAAAAGTATGATTAAGCTTCTAACTTAACTGAGATACAGGGTGTCCTAATACAGAACAAATTCATTGCATCAATCCTTAACGACATTTTATAGATCAAACCCAGCACATTCAAGAATTTATAATTGCACAGATAGCACCAATAAGGCCTAGTTTCACAGGTAAGCCTGAGGTCACAAGAACCTAAAGTTCTTTCAGGTCTCCATAACAACAGGGTAGTATGCATTTAGTATCAAGTTCTTTCAAGTCTCGACAGCATTAGGGAAGTATGTAATCTTACCTCAAAAATTTTCAAGTCTCCAAAAATTCCCAGTCATATTATGAAAAATCGATGTTATCATTTATTTATAGCATTATTTGAATATCTATTCCGATGGATTTATGACCTATGGAGATGTTAGAATCTCAAAGAAATTCTACTCCCTGTGTTTCAATTTATGTGAACTCATTTCTTTTTTAGTCCGTGCCAAAAAGAATGACTCATTTCCATATTTGGAAATAATTTACCTTTATGCAATGATTTATAGCCACACAAAATATATGTGCTTCATTTTATACCACAAGTCCAAAAGTCTTCTCTTTTTTCTTAAACTCCGTGCCCAGTAAAATAGATTCACATAAATTGAAATGGAGGGAGTAATATATTCTAGGACCTTGTAAATATAATGTAACTCAATTTACCCCTATAATTATGATTTTCTTTCCTTTCTTAGAATATGTATGCTTAGCTATTTAAACCCCAATGGCTTGACGGAATAATCAAGCTTCTCACAAGTATCAGAGCGTTTAATGAGAAAATAATCTTTGGGATGACTCGTAGTGAAGCTAATCACTCTATGTTTTATCGGCGTTTCTGCTTCAAATTTGTGTGTTTATTTAGTGGTGTATGTCGATCATATTGTTATTACCGGCAATGATCAGGATGGTATCACTAGTTTGAAGCAACATCTTTTTCAGCACTTCCAAACTAAGGATTTGGACAGATTGAAGTATTTTCTAGGTATTAAGGTCGCTCAGTCTAGCTCAGAAATTTTTTTTCACAGCAAAAGTATACCTTAGACATTCTTGAGGAGACAGGATTCATGAGTTGTAGATCCATTGACACTCCTATTGCCAAACTTCTACCAAGACAAGGGGAGCCTCTTAGCGATCCCGCAAGATATAGGCAGTTGGTTGGCAAGTTGAATTATCTCACAGTGACTAGACATGATATTGTCTTTCCTGTGAGCATTGTAAGTCAGTTTATGGACTCTCCTTGTAATAGTCATTGGGATGTAGTTGTCCGAAGTCTTCAATATATAAAATCAGCTCTAGGCAAAAGATTGTTGTTCGAGGATCGAGGCCATGAGCAGATCATTGGATACATAGACGTTGATTGGGCAGGATCACCTTCTGATAGACGTTTTACGTCTGGATATTGTGTTTTAGTATGAGGTAACTTGGTGTCTTGGAAGAGCAAGAAGCAAAATGCAGTTGTTCGGTCTAGTGCAGAAGCAGAATATCGAGCAATGGCCACGGCAACATGTGAGCTAGTTTGGATCAAACAACTGCTCAAGGAATTGAAATTTGGAGAAATCGGTCAGATGGAACTGGTGTGTGATAATCAAGCTACTCTTCATATTGCGTTAAATCTGGTGTTCCATGAGAAAACTAAACACATTGAGATTGACTATCACTTCGTCAGAGAAAAGACACTCTCAGGAGATATCATTACAAAGTTTGTGAAGTCGAAGTTTCACCAAGTCCCTCACTGGTTCTCGTACTAGCTATATTTGTAACAAGCTCGGTAAATATGATTTATATGCACCAGCTTGAGGGGGAGTGTTAGATAGTTATGTATTGTATATAAGTAGTCTAGTCCCACATTTGAATAGGAGTAATATGTACTATGTAGAGCATAGCTATAAATAGGGCTTCCTGTTGTATATTGAAAAGTGATATACAACAACAACAACCCAGTAAAATCCCAATATTGAAAAGTAATATCAATAATATAATATTCCCGTGATCAGCTTCACTACGAGTCATGCCAAACTCCTAAATAAGTGTACTAAATTTACCAAACCAGGCACAAGGAGACTGTTTTAGACCATAGAGTGACCGGCGCAATCGACAAACAAGGCCACTAGACTCCTCTTGAGCAACAAAACCAGGTGGTTGCTCCATATAAACCTCATACTCAAAATTACCGTGAAGAAAAGCATTCTTAATATCCAACTGATAGAGAGGCCAATGGCAAACAGCAGCCATGGATAAAAAGAGACGGATTGATGCTATTTTAGCCACAGCGAGAGAAAGTATCATTGTAATCAAGCCCAAATATCTTAGTATACCATTTGGCAACAAGGCGAGCCTTAAGCCGATCAAGCTGGCCATCCGGACCAACTTTAACTGCATAAATCCAACGGCAACCAACAGTAGATTTGCCTGAAGGAAGAGGAACAAGTTCCCAAGTACCACTTGCATATAAAGCATACATCTCGTCAATCATAACATGTCGCCGTCCTGGATGAGAGTAGGGATGGAAATAAAGGACAAAAAAGATACAAAAGCGTAATTGGGTGATAACAGACGATGATAACTCAACCGACATAATGTGGATTAGGATTAAGTGTGGACCATATACCTTTCCGAAGTGCAATCAGTAAACTAGGAGGAGACAAGTCCACAGTAGGAGCAGGGTCAGGTGCTGGACGTGAATCAGCTGGGCCTGATGCTGGGTGCAGACAACAATGAAAAGTCAAAAGTGGTGTTCCTGTGACTAGGGATCTAGGAGGAGCAATATTAGATTCCTCAACGGTTGGTATTGGTAAGACTTATGTGGTTGAGGATGTAGGAGGAGCTATAGTAAACTCCTCAATAGTCGGTATAGATCAGGCCTTAGATATATCAAGGTGGTCAGAAGAGGTAAAGTAAGGCCTAGACTCAAAAAATGTGACATCAGCCGACATAAGGTACCTACGAAGCCCTTTTGAACTCGAGAATACGCAAGAAAGACACACTTGAGAGCATGAGGAGCTAACTTATCCTTCCCGAGAGCGAAGTTATGAACGAAACATATACTCCCAAAAACACGAGGGGGAAGAGAGTATAAAGGCAACTGAGGAAACAATATTGAACGTGAAATCTGATTATGGATGGAAGATGAAGGCATCCGATTAATCAAATAACAAGCCATGAGAACTGCATCGCCCCAAAAATGCAGCAAAACATGAGACTCGATGAGAAGTGTGCAAGCAGTCTTAATAAGGTGCCTATTCTTTCTCTTTGCTACCCCATTCTGCTGAGGGGTATATGGACTAGACGTCTGATGAATAATTCTATGAGAAGTCATAAATTGCTGAAGCTGAGAGGATAAGTATTCTAAGGCATTATCACTGCAAAAGATGCGAGTGGAAACACCAAACTGATTTTTTATTTCAGCAAAAAAACTCTGGAATATAGAAAACAACTCAGAATAATCTGTCATTAGGAAAATCCAAGTACATCTTGAGTAATCATCAATGACACTAAAAAAATAACGATATCCTAAGGTTGAACTGACTCTACTAGGACCCCATATATCAGAATGAACTAAATAAAAAACAGACTCTCAACACTACTTCTCACGAGTTCAATCCTAGATTCGTAGATAGTATTCAATTGGTGATCAAACAATCAAATAATTAAGCATGTGATTGAATTAATAAACCAATATGATAAATTAATAAGAACAATTTAAGCTTCAACCTACAGCGTTCATGCAGCACCCCACAACTCTAGAACTAATAAACTATGAGATTAAAGGAAGAGAAGAGAAGAAAAACTAGTTCGTTCGACCAATTGATATGTTTCCACAAATAATTAAAATTCAATTTCTTGATTTGTATCTTCAATTTTTGTCAACATATAATCTTGTACCATCGTATTTGGCTAGTCGTATAGCTTTCGGAAAATCAAGAAGCAACTCCCCTATTTTTACTACATCCCAAAGACCACTAAGGGTCATCAACAGCCCAATAACAACAATATAATCTAATATGAGCTTCTCCGATTATCTTAACAATCACATTCGAAGCCTCCTCCAAGCGTGGTCTGCGTTCCCTCCCGTGAATTCTCCTTCAAAGTATGTTAGATATCCTCCAAATTAGGTTTAGAAGGCCTTCTATACAAGTTGGGACCGTGTAGAGACAAAATAACCCTGTCCCGAACGAAATAGGAAAAATCCCGCAACGCAAGGTCCAGGACAGTGCACCATGTAGGGCCAAAATAACCTTGTCCCAAGCGAAATAGGAAAAATCCCGCAACGCAAGGTCGCGTTGGCCAAGCGCCGGAACCAGAACGTTATTGCCTCCTCTTTCAATTCTTGCTGCCTAACTTTCAATTGGCGTATACTTTATTAACCAACCAATCATGTAATGATTACTCACCAAGTAATCATTATGTGATGATTGGTAATTCATTTTTTTTTTCTCCAAAATTCCATATTCACTCTCCAATCTACCTACATTATCAAGTAACACTCAAATAAGTATAAAGCTCAATACTCAACTAAATTGGGCATATACCAATATAAAATACAATCAAAAAGCGGTAAAAATGCAGAGTAAATAATATCAACATATCTGAAATTATGCTCAACATCAGGTAGGCTCGGAATAACCTCGTGAACCAACTGTCCAGAAGAAAGTTTTGTCAAAAAATGGCTGGAGAGCACCTCACGCGTCGGCGCGTGAGTTGGAATCTCGCCAGAGAAAATTCTGCGGCGGCGCGTGAGGGAGCGTTTGAGGGTTTCTGCCGGAGAAGGTTGGTCGCCGGAGACTGATCTACCTCGTGGTGGTGTTGGTTTTTGCACAACACTGACGAAAAAGGACTTTTAACCAAACAGACATGCGATCACCGAAAAATTTTCCGGTTAACCAATTTTTTCTCTTCCCGGAGTCGCTGGTATTTTTGCACAGCAATGAATCTCTCAAGGTTGCTCTGATACCATGTGAGAAAGAACTGAAAAATTATATTATTGATATCACTTTTTCAATTTACTACAAGAAGCCCTATTTATAGCTATGCTCTACATAGTACATATAACTCCTATTCCAATGTGGGACTAGACTACTTATATACATAATCTAACAATTGCAGAAGAGACAATCCATTGCCGAGCGATTTTCCGGCAACTAGATCACTGTTCCAAGGGTTCATCACTATTCCAGGAGTACTGCGCATATACCAGTACCACCAACAGATCCGGAACCCTTATGCGACCAAACTCCAAAAAACCCCACCCAGTGTTTTGGATAGCGTGCGGCGACAAATAGCGACGAGGGCCCGCTTCACTGAGGCGAG